TTGCTTTATTTACATTGTTTTCTTAGCTTTTTGAAAGCCTTGCAGAATAGCTCGTCAAAAAACAAAAGGGAAAGATGCATTTTACTAGTAGGACTACACACATATTGAGTTTAAATCTACTGTGCTGGCCAGTAAACTTTTGTAAACGTCATGAGAAGATAGTGTTAGCTGTATTTTTCAATGGTTTTTGATATAGGAGCACATCTTCAAATCCTTTGTACATTGCTTGGAAGAGCCTTAAAAAAGTTTGTTTATATAAGGTTTGCATTTACCATTCTCTTTAAAATTGCGGTTGAATTGCCAGAATTTGTAATAGGTTTTTACTAACTGGACAATACTTTTTCTAACACAAAATTAATGTTAATATTTTAAAATTAATCATGGAAACCAAGCTGAATATATTTATTTTATCTTTCTTCTTCCTTCTGGTAATTATTTAATTTTTTTAAAAATGACTTTGCAAATTTACTGCTTGTAGAGGGCAAATATTAGCTTTCCCAAGACTCTCCTAATAACTTTTGAAAGTTTTTTGGTTTGCTTTATACATTTATAACCTTTTCTCCTTCTGTGTTTTCTACGGTCTCCTTGAGTCAGTTGAAAAAGCACTTGGACTTTTATACCTGGAAATTTCTAAGTTTCCACTACTGGTTTATGGTTTTGAATTTTAAGAGCTGCCAATGAAAAGCAAAAAGGTTTATAATTGACATTTCTTCTTCAGGGAAGCAAACTAAGAAGCAGAAATTTGAACTCACCTATGGAAAAAAAGTGAGTTCATTTCTATCTATCCTAACTTTTAACAAACAAAATGACAGTGGTTGGTGGCAGAGCTGCAGAAGCCTCTTTCAATCCCCAAATATTGATGTTTTGTTGTCTTTTTCAGTATAACTGCTTACATTAGTCACCATTGAATGTGCCTTTAAATAATTTCACAGAATGTTAAAGAGATTAAAAGTTTGGATTTAACTTTAGACAGAGGAGCCTGTCAAAATTGTAAAATTTTATAAGAACTCTAGCCTGTTATACTCTCAATATTATTATTATTATTAATTATTTTTTGAGACAGAGTCTTGCTCTGTCACCAGGCTGGAGTGCAGTGGTGCAATCTCGGCTCACTGCAACCTTCGCCTCCCAGGATCACGCGATTCTCCTGCCTCCGCCTCCCGAGTAGCTGGGACTACAGGCACATGCCACAATGCCCAGCTAATGTTTGTATTTTTAATAGTGATGGAGTTTCACCATGTTGGTCAGGATGGTCTCGATCTCTTGATTTCGTGACCCGTCCGTCTCGGCCTCCCAAAGTGCTGGGATTAAGGCGTGAGCCACCGCGCCCGGGGCTCTCAATGATTATTCTTAACAGTGATTGATATTATTTGTCTGACAATAAAAATAATGAAGCCTTCTGTTTCAGTTTCACCATGTAAAGGGCTTGAAAGTGTTCACAGCATCTTACAGTAATAAGGATCTAGACAAACTGAAAATCAATGAATTTTCTTAAAACCCTAAATAATTGAATTTTCACAGCGAACTCTTACACTGATCTCTAGAGAAACGGGCTAATATAAAGTCTTAAATGAGATCAGCTTCCCTAGGACAGATGCTGTAGGAATCATAAACTTGTAGAAAATATTAAACAGTAATTTTAAAGCTAGAACCTGTGTGGACTAAAATGAAAGTGTGAAAATGACAGGGACTGCAGTCTTAGAAGGGTCCCCACACTTTCAGTGTTGGACCTGCAGGAATTGCGTCAGACGATGAAGAGATTAGAAAGCTCACACCATGACCCCATAGCTCTGGTAGAAGAGTAAACTTTATGGAATATATCCAGAGAATTTTATACAGCTAAGTTGTAAGTTGTACACTTCAGGGAAAAGAGAGGCTCTGCCAGAACGTTATCAAAGCTTAGGGGAGACTCTTCCCCTGCAAGTCCCTCTGGCCTTCCCATCTCAATAGAGAGGGAGGAGCAAAGAAACACTTGTGAAGGTTACAGCCAAGAAACACATGCCCCCTAAAAATCTGTGATTTAATCCTAAGATTACAGTTGGCTTCCCATCCTTCACAGTTTACCTCCAGGCCACCAGGGCTCCAGGACAGCAACAGCATATTACAGCTAATAGAGCTGAAAGTGCCGCCTCCCTTGAAGGCAGAGTTCAGAGAAACCTAAACACAGCAAAGGAAGCAAAACGGAGACACTAGAGGAATTTTAGACCTCTAGCACTGACAGCTGCAAGATGTGTTAAACACAGGTCAACTTCTTGCTATTAGAATAATAAAATGACACACAGTGACATTTTCAACAAAAAATTGAAGTCATGCCAAAAAGCAAAAAAAAAAAAAGTCTAAAGAAACAAACAATGCAGCCAAAAAAACTTCAGATATGACACAGTCGATTATTAGACAGGGATTTTAATAAACTATGAAGAAAACAGTACGGGATCTAATTTATAACAACAAAGTGTAAAAACAGATAAATAATGCAACCAGAGATCTGGAAACTGCAGGAAATATAAAAAAAATAAAATGCAGTATAATAGAAATTAAGAATGCCTTTATTCCAGGCATAGTGGCTCATGCCTGTAATCACAGCCCTTTGCGAGGGTGAGGTGGGTGAATCATCTGAGGTGAGGAATTCGAAACCAGCCTGGCCAACATGGTGAAACCCCATCTCTACCAAAAACATAAAACTTAGCCAGGCTTAGTGGTGCACACTTGTGGTCCCAGCTACTTGGGAGGCCTGCGGTAGGAGATTTGATTGAAACTCTGAGGCAAGGTTGCAGTGAGCAGATAAGATCACGCCATTACACTCCAGCCTGAGTGACAAGAATCACTCCATCTCAAAATAAAATAAAATAATGCCTTTGATGGACTCATTAGTAGAATTCACAGAGGGAATGAATTAAAAAGAATTAATGAGCTTGAAGGTGAATCACGTAAAACTTCCCAAGCTAAAGAATATAACACGATTTAAAAAAACAAAAAATTTTTAAGAAGTAAGGAAGAATTAAAAAAGATGTAACATTCAAAATCAAGAATAAAAGCAGAAAAAAATAAGAGAACTAAACTTCTAACCCATATAAAATTATATAAGATATATATTTTCAGTGGATTTCTTATCAAAGTCAAATAAAAAGAGATTAAAGTGCAACTTTTAAAGTATGGAGGGAAAAAAGTGTAGGCAAAACATCCCCTGAAATTCAATATTCAGTTAAAAGTGGAAAAGAAAAAAAGAATTTCCAAAGCAAACAAAAACAGAATTTATTTTCAACAGATCTGTCATGCAAGAAAAGTTTAGACAAGTTGTTCAAGGTGAGGAAAAAGGATATGTTTAGAAACTCAGATTTTAGAGGAGGGAAGTGTGTCAGAGAAAAAAAAAAGGTAATTTAAAAATTTTCATTAGCTTTAATTAAACTAAAAGATAACTATTTAGAGTAATAATGTATTGATATTTATGATATTTGAATAAGTGAAAAAATGACAGCAATATCATGAAGAAAGAATTGGAGAAGTTGGGAATTATTTTTTATATCTACAGAACACATGAAGTGATAGAAAGTTATTTTAAAGTGGACTTAGATCAGTTAAAAATGTATATTAGAAAACTTTAGGGTAACCTACAAAATATTTCTAAAAACTGTAATTGATGTGCTAAAACAAAATAATAAAATATTTGCTTTTAAAACAGAGAAGGCAGGAAAAAGGGGAAAACAATTAGAAAAACAGAAAACATTACAAATATGTTATATATGAACACAACTATATCAACAATTAATTTGTGTGAATAATCTAGATAAATAAATAAAAGCATAAAACACAACAATTTGTCGTCTATTGTAAATTTCCTAAATATAAACAATCAGGTAGGTTAGAAGTAAATGGTTGGATAAATATATACCACATTAACACAAATCTGAAGAAAGCTATAGTAGGCATATGCACTGCAGAAAAGGGAAAAATAGGAAGAAAGAGGAGCATTACATAATGGTAGCAGGGTCAATTCTTCAAGAAGGCATGATAACCCAAAGCTGTGTATATTGAACAGCAGTATCTTAAAATACATGAGGCAGAGACTGGCTCAAATATAAAGATATTATTTTAAAATTAGCAAATTAATTTCAGCAGTGTACAGAATAAGTATACCTGATGTCTAAGTGAGATTTATTGTAGGTATGTCAGGCTGATTAAGTGTCTCAAGATGATCATTGCAATCCACCACATCAAAAAACAAAAGAAAAAGAAAAATTATGTGATCACATCAAATGATGCAGGAAGTATATTTGACAAAATCAACTACCATTTAAAGACAAAGGGGAAATTCCTCAATTTGATAAAACACATCAATTTAAAAAAATTCTAGAGCTAACCTACTTATTTATGTGAAACTGGATATTTTCCCTAAATTCAAAAACAATGCAAGGATGTCCTCTTTCTGCATTCTATACGCTGTGCTGCAAAGTCCTAGGTACTATAGACTTTAACAAAATAATAACGTAAAATGTATGCAAACTTGAAAGAAAGTGATAAACTGTTTGCACATAATATTATCTATGTGGAAAACACTGAGAAAATGTAAAAGTCCTGTAAATGAGCTAAAAACATATGCTCAAAGAAAATCCTCCCAGGAATGTTTACAAGAGCCTTGTTTACAATTGCCAAAACTTGTAATGTTCTTCAGTAGATGAATGGATAAACTGTGGTACATTCAGTCAATGAAATAATATTCAGTGCTGAAAAGAAATGAACTATCAAGTCATGAATACACAGGGAAGAACCTTAAATTCATATTACCAGGCAAAAAATCAATCTGAAAAAACATACATACAGTCTGATCACAGCTATATGACATTTGACAAAGGCAAAACTATGGAGAAAGTAAAAATATTAGTGGTTTTCAGCAATTAGGGGCAGTGAGAGATGAATAAGCAGAAGATAGAGAAATCTGGGGGCAGTGAAAATAAACTATGAAACTATAACGATAGGTACATGCATATTTGTTCAATCTACAGCATGTTAAACATCCACATTGAGCTCTAATATGAATTGAGAATCAGAGTCATCCAAAACGAGAAAATTCTGAGAAACAGCAATAGCAGCCTATGGAGACATGACTACAAAATGTTATATGGTCTTCTGGTCAGGATTCTGGAACAGAAGAACGACATCAGGTAAAACTAACAAAATATGAATAAAATATGTTTTTTAGATGATAACATTATTATCAACAATTATATTAATAATTAGAACAAATGTACTATACCAGTATAAAATATTAATGGGAAAAACTGGGTGCTGATTTATGGAAAATCTCTATTTTTAAAAGCAATGCAAAGTTTCATTTTTCTCTCACGTAAAAACACGTTGGAGGTGGCAGTTCGGGGCTCTCTGAGGCCCCAGACTGTCATCTTCTACCCTCCTGTATATGAGTTTCATCCTGTAGTTCCCCTCAGAGTCTGGGGTAGCTCCCGGGGCTTCAGCTCTCATGTCTGAGCCATCTGTTGGCCTGAGGAGGAAAGAGACAGTTAAAGTCCCAGATAGAGAGGAGGCCTCCCTGCTGCACCAGCTCTCTTTAAGCAACATTCCCTGAAGCTCCATGAAATACCTTTACTTATATATTGCTAGTCATATGCCCACACCCTGCTGCAAAGCAGGCTGAGAAATGCAGGCATTTAGTCCCAGGTATAATACATACAGTTAAAAACAAGGGTTCTTTTACTAAAGAGAAAAACAGACTAGCTATTTCGGATATAGCAGCAAGTAGTGTTTTGAAAATAGTGAAATCGACTGTGGAACTTTGTGAACTGACCTTCCTATAAGTGAACTCACTATCTGTACACAGAAAATTCCCTCCTTTTATATGAAATGTATTTATAAGATGAAAGTTTAGATGGAGAATAAGGTGCCCTCCTAACAGCTGCTCTGAAAATGAGCTCTGAAAATTTGACTTGATTTGGGACAAGTCAAATTATTATATATAAATATTCTAGATTATAATTAATCATTTTTGGTCTTGCAGCAGTTCCTCTACTTAGACACAGAAAGAAAGGCAACTTTTTTTGTAGCGCTTTGAATATAACGGTGTGAACCATCATCTCTTGGCAAACTTTTCAAAATGCTGAATTTATTTGCTTAGCTATGAAAATTATTACACTTCTAAGACAAAGAAGACAAAAGAAACACAAACATGGGTACATCGTGGATTTCCAAACAAAAGAATAAGCCGATCTCAAACAAGCATTAACCAACCAGCATGTTTCATATGAAAAAGTGAAAATATACTATCTCTATAAATCCATCAAATAAAAATAGCTTAGAGAGGAAAACAAATACTATTAACTAGATATTTGTTATTGTGATGCTACCCATAATTAACTGGGATGTTATTTTTAATGACTACATGTACATGCTTTACATTTATATTAGTAAGTGGATCTATTTACATGTGTGATTATATGTTTGATGCAAGTACGTGGATATATACACACACATACAGACAATGTATCATTCAATGGATGTTGACTATATTACATGGCAAAAGTGGGTATCTGTTTTGAGGTGTGACAATTTCTCACATTTAGGACCTGGAAAACTTTAGAAGTAATAATTAGAGCTAAAAATCTTTGCAAGTCTTAGTGTTTCTTCTTATTACAGTAGCTTAAGGTTGGGATTACAGAGGTTGCTTTTCTTAGAAACTGACTCTCAGAGAAGTTTAGTGCTGGATCCAGATGACATAGTCAGGCAGTAACAACGATGGAATCAGAATTCAGGTTTTCTGACTTCAAAGGCGGTATTTCCTATGTTATATTACTAAGGTATTAGACCACTTTGGAAGCCGTGTTTTAGATGTGTATAAACAGCATTTCACTGGATTGCTCATAATGCAGTTCTGCTAAAAACACTGAATGAAGTAGGCACTAATTCCACTGCTGAGATTTGATGCTTCAGACACTTGTTTCAACAACAGAAGGTGTTTGTAGGTAAATGTTAAGCCTTTTGCTTTATGAGCAGGATCTCAACACAATCTTAAGTGCATTTTTACTTCATGAACTCAGGTTTTATGGCCTTCCTCTAGCAGCACATCGAGCAGTGCCTTTCCATTCCATTTAGTCATGTCTTAAAAATGTTAACTTTTAATTATGTTTAATCAGCCTAATATTTCTGATATTTTTTGCCCATATGTATTTGGGTTTTCCAGAGAAAAAGAATGAATAGGATAAATATTTATATCTATATTTGTATATTATATATATATATTTTTAATTTTTATGTTTTTATTGCATTTTAGGTTTTGGGGTACATGTGCAGAGCATGCAATACAGTTGCATAGGTACACACATGGCAGTGTGTTTTGTTTGCTTTCACCCCTTCACCCACATTTGGCGTTTCTCCCCAGGCTATCCCTCCCCACCTCCCCCTCCCACTGGCCCCCCCCTTTTCCCCCCAATAGACCCCAGTGTTTAGTACTCCCCTCTCTGTGTCCATGTGTTCTCATTTTTCATCACCCGCCTATGAGTGAGAATATGCGGTGTTTCATTTTCTGTTCTTGTGTCAGTTTGCTGAGAATGATGTTCTCCAGATTCATATATTTTATATATGTTGTATCTTTTATTATGTATTATATCTGTGTGTGTGTGTGTTTGTGTGTGTGTGTGTGTGTGTGTAAGAGAGGTTGCTTGCAAGTCCAAAGTCCACAGGACCAACCACCAACAGACTGGAAACTCAGGCAACAGTTGATGTTGTAGTGTTGAGTTCAGACCATTCTTCTGGAAACCTCAACTTTTGTTCTTAAGGTCTTTAAGAGAGTGAGTGAGATTTTCCTACATAATGTAGAGTAATTTGCTTTACTATCTGATAATCAAAAAGTTGATCATTGAAAAACACACCATCCAGACAGCTACATCTAGACTACTGTTTGACCAAACATGGTACCGTCACACCCTAGCCAAGCTGGCATACAACATTGATCAATACACCTTCTGTGCTGGATTTGTTTTCAGTATTTCAATTTCTTGTGTAATAAAATTATACATCAGCATATTTTTTCATGTTGTTCTCAGTGTTTCTTGGTTTGCGATACAAAGACGATAAGTAGTTTTTTTGAGAGATGATGTGTAAAAACATTAAGTGATATGTGGAGAAGTGACAAGGGAACTAGGTTAAGATGTGTTATGAAGCTAATTGTTATGATGATGAACTGGAGCTCGATATACTCCAGTTGTTTGGTGTCCTCCTATGCCTAGAATCTTAGAGGTTTTCCAACTGAGGACAGAGGGAGCTAGTTGGTTACTTATAAATTATATATAAATTATAAATGTAAATTTATAAATAACTAGTTATTATTTATAAATAATGTATAAGCTAACTTCCACATGCAATTGTTTGAGGGTCTACTCTCAAGGTACCGGGTGGCAGTCATTAACTCTGTTCTGCTTTGTACATGAGAAGAGCATAGACCAATGACCAAAAGCATCTCTGGAAACAGAGCGCAGAGGTAGGTAATAAGCAGCCAATGGAGAATTCTAAGGTAATATGGATATGACACAAAAGCTACTGATACTGGCCACTTCTTATACTATTTAGATCTGCAGGTGATGCATATTAAGCCCCTCTATCCTGTCTCTGGTGGGGACCAATCACAGTGAGTCCTAAGGCTGTCATTCCTTGTCCTATTAAGGTACGATTAGTAAGGCACTATCTCCTTATTCTATTGCTTATTTAAAAATCTCCTTAATTATTCCCAGCACTTTTGCTCATCTAGGTTATTTGCCCAATAAAATAAAGGGATCTTCATCTGTGAATGTCTAAATCATGCATAGTTTGTAGTTGCATAATTGCTTATTCACAATATCTAAGAAGATATCCTAGTGGTTCTTCAGGATTGCAGGCATATTCCTTCCAATCTCATAGCTTCATGAAAATTCAGAAGAATCACCCCTATAAGTAGAGTCTTGTTTTTGTCTTTTGTTATGAGACATGAAAGAATGATCAGACAGCAGCCACTGTGTTAAATTCGAAGAAACCTCACTCTGTCTTCTCATATTTTTCATTTACCCATACCCCAAATCTTTAGTCTAGCAGACCCTACCTTTGCAAAGACTAGATGAGTATATCTCAAAGCTGGTTTCTAGGTGGCATTTTTGACAGTCAGTGCACATCCTCATTCCAAAGGCCTTGGAAAAGTGGGGTGTTCCACTTTATTTAACGTAAATTTACCCAGCAGCTAAATATCAATCATTTTAAGCAAGAGCTGGAATGATGAATACTGTCTATATTTGCAAAATGGTTGGTGTCTCCTTCTTAAAGTGAACGTAATCTTTCATTCACAATATGGTCTCCATGTCTCAGAACTGACTTTGATCTAGAAACTGGATGGGAGATTGTGATATTCAAGAGTGGTGGCAGAAAGGATATTTCTCATTCACTTTTGATTTTTTGTTCTTTTTGCTGTTGTCATTGGAGATATCAAGCAATATTACCGACTCCATATTTATCTAGCTTCTAGGAACTCCACGTTCTATCAGCCATAACCAATGATCCCTAGTTATGTTTTTAGCTTTGCTGCTCATTGTGTACATTTATATATTTGGAATATATAAAGATCCTTTATACCTCTGTAATTAAAAACCTCAAATTTTAAAAATGGCTAAAGAATCAGAATAGACATTTCTCTAAAGAATATTCAGAAATGGCCAGTAAGCACAAAGATGTTTGACGTTATCAGGCTCAGAGAAAGGCAAGCAAAACCCACAGTGAGATAGCACTTTACTCCTACTAAGACGGCTAGAATCAAAATCGAGATAAAAACAACTTTAATCCAGGCAGTGGCTCATGCCTGCAATCCCAGAAGTTTGGGAGGCTGAGGGGGAGGATGACAAGGAGTTCGAGATCATCCTGGCCAACATGGTGAAACTCTGTCTCTACTAAAAATACAAAAATTAGCTGGGTGTAGTGGCGTGCGTCTGTGATCCCGGCTACTTGGGAGGCTGAGGCAGGAGTATCACTTGAACCCAGGGGGTGGAGGTTGCTGTGAGCCAAGATCACACCACTGCATTCCAGCCTGGGGGACAGAGTGAGACTATCTGAAACAAGCAAACAAAAAACCACACACAAACACACAGACACACATGCACACACACACACAAGACACACAATCTTAAGAGAGGATGTAGCAAAATTAAAACCCTCCTGCTGCAAAATGGTACAGCTAATTTGGAAAACTAACAGTTTCTCAAATGATTAAATATAGAGTTATTATATGACCCGGCAAATGCACTACCACTATATTAACCAAAAAATGAAAAATATATGTCTACATTAAAAATTAGATAAATGTATACAAAAGCATCTTAAGAGCCAAATGGCAAAAACACCCAAATGTCTATCAATGCAAAAGAGATAAAGAAAATGCATACAGAACGTCAAATGCAAAAATTGTATATATCAGTCCATAAAAAGAAATGAATTACTGACACAAGGTAAAACTTGGATAGACCTTACAAATATTACACAATAATATTACATAATACATACTACACATAGTGAAAGAAGTCAGTCACAGAAGACCTCATACATGAAAATGTTGAGAACAGAGGAATCAATAGAGATTGAGAATACGCTTGTGCTTTCTTAGAACAAAGGGATAGGAGATGAGAGGACAGCAGGAATGATAGTGAAAGATTACAGAATTTTAATTTTGAGTTAATGAAAATGTCCTAAAATTAACTGCTGATAGATTCCTATCTGTAAATACACTGAAAATAAATTTTTCACATTAAGTGGCTGGAATGTTAGTATGTAAACTGTATGTTAATAAAACGTTTTAAAACCAAAAGAGAAAAATTAAATACCAAAGAAAGAGACATGTTGATTAATTTAAGAGACATTAATAAACTGCTACTTCTGACTGGGCGAGGTGGCTCAAATCTGCAATCTCAGGACTTTGGGAGGCCAAGAGAGATGGATCACCTAGGTCAGGAGTTTGAGACCAACCTGGCCAACATGGTGAAACCCTGTCTCTACTTAAAGCACAAAAAAATTAATCCAGAGTGGTGGCACACACCTGTAATCCCAGTTACTTGGGAGGCTGAGGCGGGAGAATCACTTGAACCCAGAGGTGGAGGTTGTGGCAAGCCAGATTGCACCATTACACTCCAGCCTGGGCGACAAGAGTAACACTCCATCTCAAAAACAACACCAACAGCAAAACCACTGCTACTTCCCATGTCTAAAAACTGATGTGAGTCAGACAGGTAAAAGGTTTATGTTTTGGCAATTGAAGCACCTGTTGTTTAGTGAGGTGGCCTCTGGTACCACACTGAAGATCATAAAATTGGTTTTGATGTATATGTCTAATTTTCTAGACAGGGAAAAATATCTGTCCTATTTTAGGATTTTTAAATCTCATTCAGACACAACAGACAAGATTTTTGGAAGAGACATGGAAATAAAGGATAGACACTTCATACATATAACACTGAATTAATGATTTTATTTTAACTTTTGTGGTAAAATTCTTATTGTATATTTTAACTCTTCTGAGAAAATGGGAAATACAAATGCCAACCCTAAAACATTACAAAAACGGAATCGCATGTGGTG